GGGGGGGTTGGAGAGGGTGTACATTTTTACAATTCTTTCTATACAGTGAATCCCTCTCTCCTGCGAAATGTCTATCTCCAGACAGGCAGAAAAAAGAGGGTAGGGAGCACTTTAATGAAAACACGCCCAATGCAACAGCCGGAATCCAGATTTGGGAAATCATTTCTTTTTTCTTTTCTTTGGTTGTTGTTTTTTTTTGTCCTTGTTTGTTTGTTGGTGTTGTTATTGTTTTGTCTTTTGTTGTTGTTTTGTAGTTGTAGTTGTTTGTTGTTTTGTCGTTGTTGGTGTTGTTTTGTTTTTTGCTGGGTTTTTTGGTGGGGGGGGGGGGTCTGTAGTTTTGTATAAGGTGTTTCCTTTTCCTTTCGAATTGTTTTAAGGAAGGGGGTGGTGGATAAAACTTTCCTCCCGCTTTTTTGTAAGTATCGGGGGCAATGACCATAAATCCATGCACGGTACCATCATGTACTTTTGCATCTGGGTGAGGCCTTGAAGTGATGACTTTATGAAAACAACAAAAGTGTTAACGGGTAGTGGAAAACTAGACTTTTCATCATCATTATCACAATCATATATGTTTTAGTGTCGGCTTTCCTAGCTGAGTAAGCACTACGATTATCCTCGCAATCAATATCTGACTATTACTTTAAAAGATGCAAATATTTTTTAAACAAAATATTTCCACAATCTTCCAGTAAGACCTTACCTCTAACATTGGACATTGTTGCAGAGGAGTCTTGAACTTGTAATTCGGCCATTCTTCTTGAGAGAACCTGATGTCTTCATATTCTTTTCCTGCATACGCCAGGATAAGGCGGGAGATCTCAGCCTTAGCCCTCACATCCAAATAATGTAGACGTATCCTTGAATTCGCCATAGTTCGTCTGGGAATATTTTGAAAATAATATATTTTTAGTAATCAATCTCTATTTGTCCCACATAAAGTGCTCGGCCTCCCAATCTGGACAAATGAGTCTTCCAAATAAAGAAAAGGCAATATAATAATACGTGCATTATCAATTTTCTATTCATCTGTATGAAATGCCCTTCCAGAGGAAATCTAGGTGTATTGCCCAGACATGAGACTTGAGACACGATCTGAAAATCAAACGTAACAAGAAACAATTTCAGAAATAAGCTCAAAATGTACTTGGTTTGTTATAAGAATTTGTAGAATGTGACAATGTGCTGCGTGTTGTAATATTATCATGTGGCCTCTTTAGACAATAGCACCTGGCTTATATTATGTTTTGCCTATCTGGCATCTTTGACCATCTGAATAGGGACCGTAATCCCACAAGAAAGTTTTGTCTGAAAGTTCCCAAACTCATTTTTTGTGTTTATTTACGAGGACAGCTCATAACAATAGGAGCAAAACCGTCAGAAAAAAAGGATAAAGCAAGTCCGAGCGTTAACAACGCATGATGAAGTCATGGGCCCACGGGCGCATTTGTTTAGATGTGTGTGGGTCTGGGTAATCTATATATTAATAATAATAATATTATTATATAGGCCTAGATCTAGTAAAGGTATGAAAGTTCGTCACTTTGGTCGCCTAAAACTTCTAAACAACTCGACTTTCGAATTTGAAAAAAATTAACGGTGGTTCAGAATCACTTAAAGGGTGCACAGTTTTTATTAAGGAGTCGGAATCCACTGTAGTTTACTTTTCAGCTTTTCCTTAGCTTTGTTTAAATCTAATCTTGGGAAAGTCTGTCTTCTAAGACGCCATTGTAAACAAGTGAAGCTTCCGTTCACAAGCACCCAGCTAGTAAATAATAATAAGCAAATTACACTTTACTGATCCGTGTGGGGGAATTTGGGTTCCAAGGTTACAATTACAATGGCAAACATACATGAATAAATACATAATAAATCACACAAATATACATACAAAGAATACCAAATTGAGATAATACTTACAACAATGAAGAACAATAAATTTACAAACGTGCAATTGCTAATCGCCACGTTTTCTTTCTTTAAAAAAAAATTTTGTCGTTAAAGTTGAGTACGGGGGAGAACTGAATTTTTAAAATTGGTTTACTATCCGCCTCTGATTAACCATTTTTCCTCCTACTGAGACGCCTTTCCGTTTATTTTGCTCGGTCATAGTACACACCAAAGACAAAGTAAAAATTATGTCTTCCTTTAAAAGGTCCCCATGCTCCACATTTGCATACTGTAACAGAAATTCAGTAGAACGTGCACCTAGCCTACATGTGGCAAAGTCGGTTATGCGCTGCTGTATCAGCTCTAAAATATATACTTCCCGAGCAAGCACTCTCCGGTTGGGAGACTATTACCAAAGGAAGAATCAGCGAGACATGAAACCCGAGATGCTATGAACATGAGGAAAGTACTTTTGTAAAATTTCATCAAAGGCACTGGGCCATTTTTTTTTCAAAATCACAGTCGTGGACGACTGGTTCTCTTTCTCTTGTGGATCGCGTCCTTATACCTGGCTCTTTTTCTTTTCCCCAAGGGTCTAATTGCTGTTTGCTTATATAATAAGGCGTAAACCGATAAAAAACATCTCTTAACTATAACATAATTTTCTAAAATTCTTAATATCCAAATTCAAATTCGAAAGATTATAAAATAAATAGTACAGAATCAACGCTAACAAAATGTAAGATGGGCTTCCCTTATTGATAAAAGTATATTTATAAAGGTTTCGGTTTTATATGTACTCGTGGCTCGCTATAACTCGTAAGATAGCTGATGCATGTGTCTACCTCAAGTTTGGAGAAACAGACATTCTCTCCGAGTTTCCTCAATCACCCAATATCGCACGCGTACCTATTTGATCTTGAGCTTTCTATGGTTACAAGTTTACTCCAAAACATTTCGAGTTGCTATTACCGCACTTAAACGTTACTTTTCAAGGAGTAACGAAAATTATATAATGCAAAGAGAGTAACAAAGAGTCCGACGTAAAGGAAATAAAGTAAACGTAACTGAAAAGGTATCGAGAGTAACTAACATATTATAAAGGAAAATACTGGGTGTCTAAAAAAAGAGGATCCATAATAATTACAAGTTTAATCTTACACTCAAACGCACACACAACGAAATGTAATGTGGCGCAGAATGTGCGCCCTTATAAATTAGGGAGGTGAGAGAGAGAGAGAGAGAGAAAGAGAGGCAAGGCCGTGTTTAACTAACATAATACCTGCCTTTGTTACAGGAAGCTTGTAGGCCTAGGCAAGGCTATTCCGATATTAAATTTACCGTATCTTCCGCAATAGTGTACAGCGTAGATGCTAACGTCTGGCCACGATGTGTAGACGTCAACGTGTTGTTATATTATTATTATGTCTTCACGCTTCCCGTCAAACGTCTAAACAGAACCAGAGAATTGTCAACCTATTCAGAATCCAGACTGCTTGGGATCTCTCGCAGCACTGAAAAGAGATGAGCTTTTGAGTTGAGTGCAGACATTCATTATAGGCCTACTGCCGATTGGTGAAAACGAGGCCAAGTTACAGAGGTGTGAGGTGTGACATTGCAACATGTTTCAAACGGTTCAGGTCTATCAACTCATGGAGGTGGGGGTGCAATGGATTGACGCTGATAAATGCATGCGTGTGTGTGTGTGTGTGTGTGTGTGTGTGTGAGAGAGAGAGAGAGAGAGAGAGAGAGAGA